CCACAGACCCCAGCTTAAAGTCTTAGTATTCCCAGTGACACATATCCCAGCAACAAATCTTCATATCAAGGTCACACGACATTTTTTTGGTATCCCAGCCAAACAGTCTTTATAATCTCAGCCACACAATCCTTATTATCCCAGTCACACATCCCCACAGCCTAATCTGACACTGGACATCCTCACATAACTTCACATCCCCATCCGCCTTCAGTCTGTCGTCATCTACGGATTATCCTCATTTGTTAAACCTCCCACATGATGATAAATACTAGTATTAAGGTAATAGACATAAAATGTCTCTAACATGCCACTGTCATACGACCCTTACTATCCCAGCCCTTAATCTGCCACTGTTTGCACACCCCACAAAACTCCCCATCTCCATCTGCATTTAGTGTGTCGTAATCTACGGATTATCATTCCAGATTAAACAATTGTTACACCCCCATATATGATATAAACCCTATTATGAGGGTAACATACACTAAAAAACAACCAACATACATTATGAAATCTTGATTAATCCTTCGAGCAAAATACAGCCCGTATCAAGCTTTCGTAGCTTAAGCTATGTTATGTTTATTCATGTGAAGATTATGGCGTCTCAAGCTCTAAATTTGCGGACACATCTAAAACTGTCTACACCATAGGCGACAGCCGTTCGTAGCTTCGACTAGAAATGCACTTGTCTACAGTATTCTGATGAAACATTTTTTGATTTGGAGTACTGATTTGACACTGTTGAGCGCGGAGTCACAAAATGGAAATTCTCACGACAAAGATGGTCACAATATGGTGATCTGAAGGGCGAAATCACGATTTGGACATTGGAGAGCGGAGTCGCTGAATGACTTTTTCTTCTGAGTGGTTGTAGCTCTGCAAATATGTCTGCCTGACATCTTACACAGTGTTATCTCTGTGATGCAACTTCACTAGAAACACAAGCACATGTTTAGTCAAGACAACCTATATATTTTAATGTACACGACAACACGCCACAGCTTAAAAAAAACGTAGTATGTCATACACACGACTCCGTGTTCCAGAATATGGACCAAATGCCCCTATCATATATCTCAGTCATACGACCACATTTCCCGGCTACTTTATCCTTACTAATCCCAGCCACACGACAACTTTGCCAAGACACAGGACCGCATTTCCCATCTACTCTCTCCTTACTAATCCCAGCCTCACGACAACTTTGCCCAGACACAGGACCAAATATCCCAGTCACAAGACCGCATTTCCCAGCCATACTACAATTACTAATCCCAACCACACGACAATGTTTCCTAGACACAGGACCAAATGTCCAACCAAAACGACCTTCCTAGGTTAAACCCTTCTTACAAATCCCGTTTTGTGATATATATTGTTGGGCATTAATCCAATGCCAGTAAAAAAAATATGGGACGTGAAATCTCTTTTAATACCGTATTACATATCAACTTTAATACACTACAGCTAAATCAGTTATATGTCTGTTCAAATAAAAAAATTGATAATGACATCTTTAGATCGGGTGTCACCACGTGCGGTCCCCACCCGCACGAATGTCTCGTCTTTTTTTGTCATTGTCCTAGTAAATTTAAATTCTTGCAATGTATTTAAATTATTTCCGCGTATAATCCACCAGTATGATACAATTTCAGTGTATATTATGTGGGTTGTTTTAAGTAATAATATTTTTGTTTCCAACCCGCATGCATGCTCTCACATATCCAACCATCTTTCAGATTAGCTTTGAACTGAAACAACGTTGTGGTGGGATTAGGATAAGATTATTAGAAAACAAGGCGTTGTAATTTTCTGCTAATTTTGTGTCTCATGATCAAAATATTGAGGATCTAAAATATTTGATTGACAAATTATATTCACACACAAAAAGATGAGTCCAAACAGAAAACATTATTTTCGCAATTTTCTGTTTGCGCACTTTTCGGTGTGCGGCAATTTCTGTTTGCCCTTTTTTTCCGTTTGCACTTTTTTCTGTTTGGCTTTTCTTGAATTTCGCATATTGTTGTGCGCTTTTTTCCGTTGCGCATCTTTCTGGGAACCATATATATATATATATATATATATATATATATATATATATATATATATATATATATATATATATATATATATATATCTATAATATAAGCGGCTAGGTAGTGTGTCAGTCCTTCCTTCCTTCCGTCATCGCTATAGCTTTTGGAACCATAAAAGTAAGCATCGCACCATGCAGTGCTTTTCAGTGCACTGCAGTGTCTTATTATAAGTAATAGAGTAGGGTTTGTTTATATAACGACATAGAGCTATTTTATAATTGCCACTGTGTTTACTCTTTTGCATAACTTAAAGAAAATATTAAATACACGCACATTGCTAAAACATATTAAAAGGATCAATGTCAAATATCATTTATATTCCTAGAAAAAGTGGATACATTTTAATAACATAATAACAGTACGGTATAAAAATCAAATTAATTTAACTCTTTTCTAATTTTGACAAAGGAGGTAATTTAAAAATACATTAAACTCACGCTAATAAAAAATGTGAATGCAAATATACGTTCGTCATAGAAGGAATTAGTGTTGCAATAATATAATTAGCAAAATGTGAATGCAAATTATTCGGATGTGTAAGAGGAAATTATTGTTAGAAAATTATAAATAGCATGGATTGATAAAAGGCAATCTTTTATTTATTTTATTCACTGAATGTAGGCCCTACTGTTTATTACTTATAATTTTTAATCAACTATTCAGCACTATTATAGACGCGTCATCACGTTCATTAGGTGCGCAATCGTTTTAGTTATGAAACTCTATTGTAAATTTTTAAAATTTAAAGTGCTGGAAATAAATTGCGTGAATGGATAAAGTGAAATATTGTATATATTATAGATACTGCCTATTATTTATACTGTTTTCTAATTATTATTCTATCTTTCGGGTTTTATAGGAGAGGCGTAGCGAGGGGGGGGGGGGGCATATGTCCCCGGGTGCCGACCTTAGGGGGCGCCAAAGTGGGTTGGAAAAAATTTGCGAGGGGGGTGGTGGTGGAAATCGAAAGTTTTACGGCGGGGGGGGGGGGGGGGGAAGGGGTGCAAATCGAAAGTTTGAGGGGGGTGCAAATCACCGGAAAGGGCGCGATTTGGCGCTACGGGCTAGACTGTGAGCAATATGCCTTCATGATTGCATTTAAATTGTGTTTATGTTATGAGTGTTGTGTTTGTTTGTTCGTTTTTTTTTTTTTTTTTTTGCGTTCGTTTGTGTTGTGTTTAGTTTTGTTCTGTTGGTACATTTAAAAAAGATTTACCGTGGCGGAGCACGGGATGCAGCTAGTATATATATATACATATATATATATATATATATATATATATATATATATATATATATATATATATATACACTAGACCACCCGATATCCTTTGGATAACTGGGTTTGGGGGTCATTCAGAAATAACATCAGGCCTGTCACTTATCGTCACAAAAATACCAGACCCCACATTCAAAACGAAGTCACACCTCGAAAGTTTTTGTCTTTTAAAAACACCTATTCCGGCAGAGCATGGGTCTGACCATACTATTCCTTCATATTATTATGCTGAGGTCACAAAAACAGGTCAACTCTATTTTACCTGCCCCACACTATCCCTTCAAATGCTGATGTCTATGGTGAACTCTGGACCTACTTAACTCTACTTCAGCTTCCTAGTGTCCTGTCAAGTCTCAGACAACATGTTTATGTGGTTTTAAAACACTAATTTCAGACGAGCATGGGTCTGACCACACAATCCTTTCATATGCTGAGGACACAGAAACAGGTGAACTCTACTTCACCTGCCCTGTGTCCTGTGAAGTCCTGATAGGCAACTTTATCACTCACATCTAAAAAAAAAATGAAAAATATTTTTAGTATTGTCGTGGTGTGTCAGAACCGAAAGGTAACTATTACACTATCATCTTAGCTATGTGGGCACTTACAAAATAGAACATAATTATTATAATTAACTACAAAGTAAGAAACGTCAGTTACCTGGATAGGCCCTATTATTTCAAATTAAATTATATTCCAAATTAGCCAATTTCATAGCTAAACAAACAAAGATTTATATAAAATAATTAAGACCTGAAATAATCTAGTGCTTACTTAAGTCTTAGATCTAGTTTTTCCGTAGTTCTAGATCTAGAACCTAAGATAGATAAATCCCATGTATTCTCGAATTAGATGATCATTGAAGCTAAAAAGAAAAGACTTATATCAAATATTTAAGGACTAACATAGTTTTATAAAGAAACTCAATAATTTATTGTGATTTTATAATGGTTTTTATTTTTAACTAATTAATTTTGGATTGACCTAGATTATAGATTTTAGATCTATGAATGACTTTCCCTTCGTCCGACAGCTGATCTCTAGATCTAGAGAAATTTATTGTATACTCAGATTACAAGAAATGCCGAAAATTGATAATAGTGTTGAAACCTAATAAAAATAGCAAACGAAAGTATCGTTAAAGTTACAGCCGGCAGAAAATTAGCTTTATAATGCGTTAAACTTTTGAATGGGCAACAAAATATTCGATAGAAGCCTCCATTATTGTTATAAAAAATAAATAAATCATATGTGACAATTTAAGTAAAGTCATTGCTCTGAACTTTTATAATTTAAGTGGTTAAACTACCAATGAATATATCAATAATTTATTAACGTCTTTAAATAAATTTCTCATTAATAGTTTGGTAAAAAAAATAGCATTATTCTCTACCTAAATACGTATTATTTTACAGCACTAAGCAGAGTGCAGATTCTCTCATGTGTATGTGAATGTGTAACCAAACAGACAAACAAATAAATATAGAAACACCAACATAATGTGATAGAATTAAAATATATCGAGTTTATCGGGTGTTGGTCGGCCAACTCCGCCCCTGGTTGTAAAACAACAACTAGGTCTTGTGTATAAATACAACGAGTCGGCCCGGTAAACCATCTCCTCTCTCACTCTCTGATTGACGAGGCAACTTACAAATGCTCCTGCAACTTTGTGTCCTTGTGTGCCTTGTCTCTGGTGTCCGTGCAGGTGAGTACGACGCAAGGATTGGATGAGTATTTTATTGGTCTAGTTAATACGGAAATATGTCAAGCATCAGTTGTTTAGTCTCTACCCATGAAACGGATCACTTTGCTACCCTGGCAAGTATTGACTTTGCTACCAATCCTAGTGGTCGCATTTTACCCTATCCAGCGGCTACTTAGCTATAAAGGTCAAACAGCTACTACTTTACCAAAGCCAGAGTTCACTTCCTTACCCAGGCTGTGGTCATTTTTGCTGGTCATGGCACTACTAGTTATTTGCTTACACAGGCAAATTGTCACTTTGCCACCAGGACAGTAGTCACATCCATATCTAAGCCAGTAATCCCTTTACTGTCCACTCCAGCGGTCACTCCATTTCATAGGCCAGTGGTTACATCACTTCACAGTCCAGTGATCGATTTGCTACTTAGGCCACTTTGCTAAACAGGCCATTTAACATATCCTTACTAAAACCAGTAGTCATTTTAATTATACTCAGGCCAGTGGTTGATCCCCTACCCGTGCCAGTGGCTCTATATTACTTAGAATAGTTGTCACTTAATCAATTTTTTTTTGCTGTTACAGCCATCTGTTTTTATTTTTTAAATATTTTTTTCACAATCTTTTAAGGCCAGACATCACAGTAAAAAAAAATTCAATAACATCATTTTTGGTGTTCAATAAATCCATACGTCCATACGTTAATTTTTTTAATACTTTAGACAAAAATAATATATAGTCGCCTCTAGTAGTTGTGGTTGTCATGGAGACCTACAAAAAAGTGTGAAAATGCACACTTTTTCAACACCACTGTATTGGGAAAAAATGTTTGCAATCGAGTTGTGTCTAGCCATTATCGACGAATCAATGATTACTGCTTAAACGTTTAGATATTAAGAAAGCCGGACGTTTTCCCGAAAGACACTTGCATGAATGACGTTTTGCCGAAGATCGATGTCCCAAATGCACACTTGCCCGAATGCGACCGATACCCGGAAAAAATTACATTATATTAATAATTAGTTTTGATAGTTAATGACATTTTGATAATCAATACTTATCTAAGCAAAAAGAGAGGATAAAAATTAGTATTAAGTATTCCCAAGCAGACGTTAAGAATTAATTTTTATTAGCTGTATATAAATTGTTCAAATATATTTTTTCTCCATTCGGGCATTTGTCCCATTCGAGCAAGTTTTCATTCGGGCAAACGGCATTTGGCCAAGTGTCTTTCGGGACTTTGTCGTAGACCCAGTTATTATAATGCACATACACCTCGGGAACAATACAGTGTTTAACCTTTAAACATAGCTGGTTTGTTGCATTTTTTTTTGTTATGCATAGCATAAACTCTATTTTTGTAGACAACGGCAACGGCAACACATACAATGACAACAGTACAAAATCGAAGCGTGGCAGCATAGATGAACTTCTCTCCATGGACACTTGCAGGAACTGTATCAGCACCCAACCTAGACAAGTTGTCATCCTTTCAAGTGGACTTGAGGTAATGTGTGACACAGAAGACGGCGGGGGATGGATGGTGATACAGAGAAGAACAAATGGAAATCTAGATTTTGATAAGACGTGGGAGGACTACAAGTACGGGTTCGGAGATGTGGATGTCGGGGAATTTTGGCTGGGCAACGAGATCGTTCACCGTCTGACGATACTAAGACGCTACGAGCTGAAGATTGATTTGACGTACTACAACTTTAACTACACCGCAAGATTCGCCAGGTTTCGCTTGTATGGAGAGGCGGAAGGTTACAGGTTGAAGGTCAGCAACTACACTGGGGGGAATGCCGGAGATTCTTTTTCTGGAAAACACAACGACATGAAGTTTAGCACTCGTGACAGGGACAACGACCTGTCAGGGGTAAATTGCGCACAGACTTTTACCGGAGGTTGGTGGTTCAACGCATGTCATGACTCAAATCTGAACGGCAAATGGGCAAGTAAAGAGAGGCTTAAAGGTCTTATCTGGGTCCACACAACAACGGAGTATTATTCGGTTGAGCGCTCTGAGATGAAAATTAGACCGCTTTAACGAGATAACGTAGACTCTTTTTTGTCTTCAAGAAATAAAATTATTTAAAGCTAATTGTGATATTTGTTTTAAATCATACAATTGTCTTGCTTCTTTCGATATTTAAGATTTATAAACGACATACTCTACTTACTTGTTTCATCACATGATATTGGTAACAAAAAAAGAACTGCGCACCCAGTGAACGACAAACAATATGTGTATAATAGTGCGGAATATTATTAGAACTTTATAAATTCATATTCAGCATAAAATACTACTTCCGGTCAACGGAAATAACTCAAAATTTAAAAGAAGGTAGCAAATCACACCCTTTACTTATATTTGAAATATCGTTTATCTATCTGAAATAGTAGGAAAGTTATAGGCTTTTTACAAATCAAAAGTAGAATAAATTCCACTTCCGGTTACCGGAAAAGTTGACACAAAACTTCGCATTCGAAAAAATACTTACATATGAAATTTCATCAACCTAGCTGTAACGGTACTCAAGTTATCGTATTCACAGAATGCACACATACATACACACCTCCACCTCCACCTCCACATGCACATGCACATGCACATGCACATGCACATGCACATGCACATGCACATGCACATGCACATACACATACACATACACATACACATACACATACACATACACATACACATACACATACACATACACATACACATACACATACACATACACATACACATACACATACACATACACATACACATACACATACACATACACATACACATACACATACACATACACATACACATACACATACACATACACATACACATACACATACACATACACATACACATACACATACACATACACATACACATACACATACACATACACATACACATACACATACACATACACATACACATACACATACACATACACATACACATACACATACACATACACATACACATACACATACACATACACATACACATACACATACACATACACATACACATACACATACACATACACATACACATACACATACACATACACATACACATACACATACACATACACATACACATACACATACACATACACATACACATATACATAGACATAGACATACACATACCCATACCTATACCCATACCCATACCCATACCCATACCCATACCCATACCCATCTTTTTTTAAAAGCCAGCTTTTATGTAATAATGCACTAAAAACAAAAAAAAAATGATGACACACATGCCAACCTTGAAACGAATGTGTCATTTAGAAGTGCCGAAATTGGGCTCGCACGTTTTGATCTATGACGATAGACAAACTGACTGCTAACTCATGGGAAGTTAAATAAAAGCGTGTAGAAAGTAGAAGAAATATACATACATACATCCATCCATCCATATATATATATATATATATATATATATATATATATATATATATATATATATATATATATATATATATATATATATATATATATATATATATATATATATATATATATATATATATATATATATATATATATATATATATATAAATCAACGTATGTAAGTGTGTCTGTTTTTAATGCATTACTACACCCTTCACCTAATTCCATGAAACTTTGGAAAGCTGTTGAGAATTCTCCAGAGGAGGTATCTGCGAAATTTTGTTTTCAAATTCACAGGGGTGGTGTTCCGGCAGTGTGTGATTTTTTCTCTATATACGGTATATAAAAAATAAAAGTCGAATGCATTTATACAGATAGACAGAATGACGACAGACAGAAGGAAGCATGTTAAATAAAAGCTTGTAAAAATGAAAAAAAAAATGTTTTCTTTAAACATAATGACGAAATGCTATTTAATTAACTAAAAATAAAAGCGTTATTTTGTAAAATATATAATAGATAAATGGCCCGTTAAAATAGAAATACAACGAGCTCTAGGTTGATAGTGTTGTCTTTTTTTTTCTGAAACGAAACCAAAAGCAAAACCACCATCTCAAGTTCATATTTAACTGGAAACGAATAATGTCATTGAAAACAGATTTATATCCAGAATCAGCATTTTTACCGGATTTAACCTTAATCAGTACCTCGTTACTTCATATTCGTACTAAATATAGGCTTAGTCATACCCCAAAATCTTGCACCTAAGCTCAAACGTGACAAAAGTCAAATTCAGATTTTTTTTTTTGAGGTAACTCTTGTGAGGGGGGGGGGTGGGGTGGAGACCACGAAGAATGTATATCGCCCCCATAACGAAATAGAATTTAAAGTCTGAAAGAAACACTGGTCGTATTTGTAGATCATACAGATTAAAGGCAGACTTTATCTCTATAATTTAAATTTTAGACCCGCCTTCCTCTCTTTTGTTTTCTAGGTAGAGTTCATTTTAGTGCTTTGTTTTGGGAGTCTTCTTCTGATCATGCGAAGGACATGACCCAGCCAACTCCATCTCCTCATTCGTACCTCTGAAACAATGTCGTTTAAGCTTGTCCTTCGTCGTATATCTTTGTTCGGATTTTTGTCGTCCCATTTTATCCTGAGGATACGTTGGAGGGAGCTTCTTTCAAAGTCTCTGAGGCGTCTGTCTACTTTCTTGTTTAGTTTCCATGTCTCTGCAGCATAGAGGAGTAAAGAACATACACTAAACTTGTAAATACTTATTTTGGTTCTCTGCTGCAGTGAGGATGATTTCCAAATCTTAGCAAGTCTGTGAAAGCCTGTGCTGCCATTGCTATTTCCTTCTCGATGCTGCCATTTGCTGAGATACAGTTGCCGAGGTACTTAAAGTCTTCGACCTCTTCTAACTCAGCTGGATAGCTGTTTAATTATTATTATTGTATTAAAAAAAGCGAATGTAGTTTTTTGTTTCCTGTTAAAAATTGTTGTCGTTAAGTAGTCTGCTATTATGGCGCGGGTATAATTTTGATTTTAAAATTGTTGATGGTTGCTCAGTCTTGTTTATATTTTGATGTTATTATTTATGCAAACTTTGTTTTATTGTGTCGTCTAAATTTGTGTCATGTCGTGTTGTCAGTTATTGTTGTATTAGGGACTATATTCTGGTCCATAGTATGTGGTGTCTTGTTGTAATTTGCTTAAGTGCAAAATTTTGAATTTTGGTTTGTTCGTGAACGTCGTATTCGGCACAGGTAGGGACAGCTGTGTGAATGTCTGGGCCTGTGTGATGAAGTGTTTCTGTGTGGTATTTCTGTGGTTTTGGAAACGTAAATCTTTTTTATGGTGTTTTATTATGTTTTCATTTTAATTAGTTTGCTTATGTGTCTATGTAGTGACTGAGAACTTAGACTTTGTGTGAGAAGTCTCTGTGGTTGTAGTTCCTGGCCACCTGGTGGTATGATGGTCTGGATTGAGTCAGGTGCCATTGTACTATGTAATGGTATCTATTTTACTAGAGCCTCATGTTAAGGCTAATAATTGTGTCCATTGAGCTAGTAGAGTAATGCTCAGTGACCTGATATTTACAGGGTTTTACAAGTTTGTTCTGTGTAAACTACATGCGGACTGTTATTTAAGATTTAATTTTGTCGCCCCCTCATTTGAAGGTTCAGTTTGTACAATATCCGTTTTATTTTCAATTGTGTGCCATCTTTATGCTTTGAATATAACCATTTTACTTTTATATGATCTTCTTGTATCTGTGCTATTTTCAGGTGTGTAGTTTGAATTGATGTTTTCTTGTGTTTAGTTTTGTCGCCTTTAGTTTTTTATTTAGTAGTTTGAAATTATTTTTACTTTCTCGTATATACGAAGTATAGAGAAAGTATTGTAATCGTGCAAAAAATCTCTTGAAATTTTAACAATTTTCACCATATTACACCTCAGTCCTTCATCACATCCGAAGTATAGAGGACTTATTTTAATCGGGCAAAAATGATCAATCCAGATTTATCAAAATTAAGAAGTTTTATGTGTAATCCATTCTGAAAAACTGGGCTTTGCAATCCTGTCCGTATGTCTGTGTGTTTGTCAGTCTGTGTGTGTGTAAACACGATTACTTGAGTACCGATACAGCTAGGTTGATGAAATTTCATATATAAGTATTTTATCGAAATCGTAGATCTGTATCAACTTTTGAGCGATTTCCGATAACCGGAAGTGGTACTTTTCTACTTTGAATTTTTCAATAGCCTATAACTTGAGTACTATTTCAGATAGATAAATGAAATTTCATACGTGAGTAAAAGATCTAATTTTCTACCTTCTGTTAAATTTTGAGTAATTTCCGTTGACCGGAAGTAGTAATTTACGCTACTTCCGATTTCTCAAAAAACTAATGTAAATTTTTAAAGTACTAATAATATTGCGCACTATTATGCACTTTTTTATTTGGCGTTCACTTGGTGTGCAATTCTTTTGTCTATGAGATTTTATTCTATTTTAAAACTTTAAGTATTTAAAATGGATTTCAAATCATGTCTATAGCCCGAGTTCCCATCCCCTGTTGTTTTATATAAGAATATTCGAGAAAGTTTAGGGGAGATCACTCCCGGTTTATTTTAGTAATTGTGATTCATATTTTTCTTATAATAAAGTTTATAATTGTTATTTTTGTTTGTTTTCGTTTTAGTATAAGACTAAGCTTAGGGTTTTAACCAGTCTGGTTTCGACCAGGCTTGCACTGACCTGATAGTTTAATTACATAAGCCTAGGGACGTAATATAGTCATCCCCTACCAGGGCTTACATTAATATTAATTCATATTGAAAGTCAACGAGAAAATATTATTTTAGTGCCTATCAATTTCTTTACTATTTTTTACTTTCAGTTCTGTGGGGGGGGGGGGGTTGCGGGTCATTTACTTTTTATAAAAGGGGTCGCCACTCGAAAAAGTTTGGGAACCACTGATTTAACCCCATCTCCCGTACATCACGACGCCGACCCCAACCCCATATAGTGTCCAAGCGTCCCTTTTCACGCGTCTTTTCTTTTAGATATCATAGTATCTAGACAAGATGTGTTTTCACAGTCGAGCAAAGTCCAAAGTTGTATTACTGTTGTTTTTTTGTCTAGTCTTTACTGTTGTGTGCTGATGAAGACCTTGGGTTAAAACGCCCATAGTACATGTAATTGTCTTTAACGTGTGAGGTAACTAACACTATCTGTTTCATTACTAAATGACAATAAATTTACAACTCGAGCTAGTAAAACTTGAAGCTGGAGTCAGTAGAAATGGATCTACAACTGAAGTAACATGAATATATCTCCAGCTAGAGAAATAAATCCAGGGCTGGGTAGTAATATATTTCTATAGCTGGAGATGGTAAAATATATCTACATCTCGTGTTGGTAAAAATATATCTACAGCTGCAGTTGGTAAAGTTGTATCTATGTAAATATGTTCAGCGAATAAAGATGCAGATGGTAAAAATGTTGAGGAGGCTGATTTCAGGACAAAAAGTTTACTGCTCCAAAACTGGTCGAGGGGAGATAATTGGATTGAATTTAAATTTTGGTGGATTGCGTCCCTTCTCAGTACTTTAAATCAAAGACATTAACTTTCACTTAATCTAACTGCTATACTTTATGCAAGCTCTGTAAAAAAAAAAATTCTTCAAATGAACACATAAATTTTAGTTTCTTTTATCGTAAATGTATCACACATCTGGTAACGAAATACGTTGATGAATGAATTTGTCATAAAACTAAATACAATTGAAGTTTTTTTGGTATCAGTGTTTCTTTCAGGCATCTATTCCTGTGAAGTCACTGTAAGTCACTGTATTTTCTGTAAAACTATTTTTGGTTTGGCCTTAACATCAAGTGACGTCGCTGAGCCGGGGAAAGTTTTTAGTTTTTTAGAAAACAATGTGTTTGTTCTGAACTTTTATAATTAAAGTGGTCTTTCTACCAATGAATATATCAATAAACTAATTAACGTCTTTAAAAGAATTTGTGATTCACAGTTTGGTAAAAAGGACCATTATTCTCTACCTAAATACGTATTTTACAGCTCTACACATAGAGCAGATTTTCTCATGTAACCAAACAGACAAACAAATAAATATAAAAACTAGTAAACAACTTGAGTTTTTAGTAGTGAAATGGACTACCCGACAACCTTTGGATAACTGTGGGTTTTGGGGGTCATCCGTCTGTCACTTATCGTCACAAAAGAACCAGACCCCACATTCAAAATAACGTCACACCTCAGAAGGTTTTGTCTTTTAAAAACACCTATTTCGGGTCTGACCACACTATCCCTTCATATGCTGAGGTAAAAAAAAAAAGGTCAACTCTACTTCACCTGCCCAGTTTCTCGCCAAGTCTCAGGCAACATGTTTTTATCGTTTTAAAACACTGATTTCGGCCGAGCATGGGTCTGACCACATTATCCCTTCATTTGTTTAGGACACAGAAACAAGTGAACTCTACTTCACCTGCCCTGTGTCCCGCGTGGTCCCGATAGGCAACTTTATCCTTCACGTATTCTTTTAAAAATGAAAAAAGAATTGTCATTTTTGTGTTGTATCTCGAAATCGTATCACCCGCATGGTAACTATTACACTATCATCTTAATACGATAATGTACTGCACAGTAAGAAACCAGTTACGCGAATAGGCCCTAGATTAGCCGATTACATAGCTAAACAAACAAAGATTTATTTAAAATAATTAAGGTCTGAAATAGTTAAGTATAGATTCAAGCTCTAGATAGAGCTAGATCTAGGTGTAGATTCTATTAGTCTCAACACAACGACCCTAATGTGACCACAAAAACGTCCTATTTCTCAACCAGCTGGATTATGTCCACATGTACAATATTATCCACCCTGATTCAACATCTGTTACACCACATATATTGTGATATAAATCCTATTATTAAGGTTAGATAGATGAGGGAGACAGTTAATCCAATGACACTAAACAAATATGCTTGGTGTAATGTTGCTTAATGCGTTAAACAAAATACAGCCCGTATCGTGCCGTGGTACACTTAAGCTATTTTGTGTTTGTTTATATGAAGATACTGGCGTCGCTAAGTCGTGTTTCACCCTATGCAGTTCACCACCCTACTGCTCTTCTATTGTGTCGCTATTGTATCAATATAACATGATTTAGTGATGATCTCATGCGATTTATGGATTAACAATATACTCGTCTATTACCAGGATACCCGTATCCACAGATCCAATACTCTCTATCTTAGAGAATAGCTTACAGCTAATACGGTCCCGTGAGGTGATTAGGCATAGGCTAAAGAAATGTCACAGGGGCGTAGTAATATTTCTGTTCCATGACCAAATGTCGGACAGTCTCCAAAGGTAGACTGTCATCAGATTTTAGCATTTACTTACTTGTTACGGTAACGGGGTATTTGAGAAATGCAGACTCAGATGTACTACAGTTTTAGACATTTAAAGCAAAACAAGGGTTGCTGTAGTGTAACCAGCGGCTCCCGAAAGTGGCCGGCGATGCCCCTGAGATCTGGGCGGTCACCGAGGGTAGCTGTACCTCAATATTATAAAATAGGATTAATGTACACTCAAGGCTTTCATGCAGCACGCTGTTGGCGTCTGGGAGGTTGCAAGTACAACTATACGCCACAACAACTAAAAATTCAAGAATAATATTTCCGGCTTTGTTTGCATTTAAATAACTCACTTTAAGAAAACAACGCCAGGCGTCTGAATTTACAAGATTTTTAACACGATGATATAACCTTTATCAAATGATTAGTTACTCCATCGTGTTGTACTAGATCGCAGCAACGCGCGCGACGAGCACGCCAGTAAATAAAAAAAAATGCCAAAAAGGTCTACTGTGCAGGCGACTGCGGTTACTAAGTTCTACTAGTCATGCACGCATCTATAAAGTTATGGTTAAATCTTACTGTTACGGAGTCAATGTATGATAATCTAAAGGGCGCAGTTAGATTGTGGTGATCTTGAAGGGAATCCAGATATGGGGAGAGAGAAGGCAAAGACACAGTGGTACAAATTGAAGGGACAGAGTCACGATATGGCTTTATATTATGAGGGGTTGGTAGGTAAGTAAAAATGTCATATAACACTATCTGTGTTTATCGCGCGACCATCTTCGCCCCTGGTTGTGAAATGCAGCTAGGTCTTATGTATAAATACAACGAGTTAGCCCCATCAACAATCTCCTAGCTTTGTCTCTGACCGACGCGAGTCAACTTTTAAATGATCCTGCAACTTTGTGTCCTGTGTTGCCTTGTCTCTGGTGTCAGTGCAGGTGAGTGCGACGTAAGGATTGAATGAGTAGTTTTCACTCTAGATGATAAGGCTGCACATAATGACATGTGTGTCCTTTTTCTAGTCCTTGTTTCTACTCAGGCTAATGGTATCTTCCCTGCCCAAGCCTGGGGTCCCTTCGCTATCCCGGCCAATGGTCACTTCACTACCCACGCCAGTGGTCATTTACCTACATAGAACAGTGATAACTTTCCTACCCAGGCTAGTGGTCACTACTACGTTCTTCTGTAACACGTTTTTGATTAAAAGATATTTTTGACGATATCTGAAAAGTCGATATTTTAAACACTAAATCTTTATACTTTTAATTATTATAATGCTTGTAAATTTTATTTCTTTTAATTTTTATATAAAGCCACACTTTCTTTTGTAGGCAATGACAGCACAGAATATTCCCTACCCTGGTCAGTGGTTACTTTTATGCCCAGCCCCATTAGTCAATTTCCTACTCAGGCCTGCTCAGTTGTCACCTAATCAAGATGACATATTCTTTACATCCTTACTTTAAAAAAAAAATTCTACAATTTTTGTAAGTAGACGCTGTATATTTGTTTCTCTAAGTATTATGTATTGAAGAAACTTTCTTTTTGCAGACAATGGCAAGACATACAATGACAACAGCACCAGATCAAAACGTAGCAGTGTGGAGGAATTTTTCACCCCCAACACTTGCTTGAATTGTGCCAGCTCCCAACCCCGACAAGTGGTCATCCTGTCAAACGGATTTCAAGTGATGTGTGACACGCTGACAGACGGGGGAGGATGGACGGTGATACAGAGAAGATTCAACGGACAAACAGATTTCTATCGGGGGTGGGAGGAGTACAAGTATGGGTTCGGAAATATGACTGACGGAGACTTTTGGCTAGGCAACGAAAAGATTCATCGTCTGACGACAGAAAGGCAATACGAGCTGAGGGTCGATTTTACATTTAATGGTCAAAACTTCTACGCAAGATATTCAAGCTTTTGCGTGTATGGACTTGCGGAGTTTTATAAGTTGAAGGTCAGCGGCTACTCAGGGAACGCTGGTGATTCTTTAACTCAGAAACACAACAACATGAGATTTAGCACATTCGACGTAGACAACGACCCGGTAAGCGATAACTGCGCCCTCGCTGGTCGCGGAGGCTGGTGGTACAATAACTGTCATACTGCAAACCTGAACGGAAAATGGGGGAGCACTGTATTTGGTGTGGGTGTGAACTGGTTCGACACAACAACGTACACTGCTTCGGCTACGTTCACTGAGATGAAAATAAGACCGGTTTAATGAGACAATGTAGCCTCTTTCTTCTTAAAGAAATAAAATTGCTTGAATCTACCTTTGTAATTGGTTTTTGATCTTACAATAATATCATTTAGCTATTTAAAGGCTTTGTGTGTGTGTGTGTGTTTGTGTGTGTGTGTGTGTGTGATATTAATTTAAAACACTTCCCTTTATCCAATTGAGCTGAAATTGGGCACAGTGGTAGATCTAGAATTGCAATGCAAGAACATCAAACTTTATAATGATTAGACAGGCAATTAGTAATTTAGATGGAATTTAAATTTATTTTAATCAATAATAAAACGGCGAGGTAACAAGATAAAATACTAGCGATCGCTTGATAAAGGGCCACCAATGGTTAACTCTTTTGGCCGATTTTGTGACTTGCGAGCTTAATATTATTTTATGGTTTAGGCGAAATAAGCATATTGTTAATTTTTTTCTAACCTACCAAAAATGCCTTAAATAGAAATAAAGAACGCCAATGTCACCATGTGATGGTATAGGCATTTCCAGAGAGAAAATCTCAAGAATGTAGACATATTTTCTGTCGAAATAATTCACCCGAATTCGAAAAAAGAAAATATCAATATTTTTTTATTTATTTTAAGTGCATTTATATATATAAAGCAAAGTGTTCGGGTGCCGGATAGGGCACATCCCGGCGATGATGGCCTCTATAGTTGAATAGGCCTTATGGAAAAACTGTTGGTCAGACTCAAAGCCCTCGACGAGTGAAATTCTTCTTATACGATATATATATATATATATATATATATATATATATATATATATATATATATATATATATATATATATATATATATATATATATATATATATATATATATATATATATATATCCATCCTGATGGCACACCGCCTTGAAGTGGTGGGATGGCTTGTGTGCCCCAGCGACCCCCAGAGCTATGCCGGCGGGAGCCTAGTGCTCCTGGCAGGTCTAACCAAGTCGGACAGATCTGCGTGGGTAGGGGCCAGACCAAACGTTGTGCCCTGGTCCTGTGGGTAGGGGCCAGACTTGTGTCCTGGTCCTGTGGGTAGGGGCCAGACCAAACGATGTGCCCTGGTCCTCCAGGTTGGGGGTTGTGCGATGGTCTAACTACTCGTCCACATAAAACAAAAGACAGTTACAGAAACCAAAGCCAAATCCGAAACAAATCCAGTCCTCGGGAGAATCAGGGCTCCACTTAGGAGAAGTATGACGCAATGCAGCCAAATCCGTAAGGAAGCTACAGAGCCGACCCCCCTTCTTCAACCGAGGAAAACTAAATCCACAGCCCCAAAACTACTGTCGCAAAAGAAACCTATCCTCATAGGAACATGGATCATCAGAACACTATGGGAAGCAGGGAAGTGTGCACAGGCAGTGAAAGAAATGCAACAGTATCATCTTACAGTGCTTGGCCTGTGCGAAACAAGATGGAACACCTTTGGAGAGACAAAATTCCAGACGGGAGAACCACTGTTATACTCGGGAAAAGAAAATGAGGACGACCCACGAGAGGCAGGCGTAGCCTTGCTATTGACAAAGGAGGCAACAAAAAGCTTGATGGAATGGGAACCTGTATCTGATCGAATAATTAAAGCTAGATTTGAATCCAGGTTTCAAAAGACCTCCATTATCATGTGCTACGCTCCTACGAACAACGCAGACGAGGAAGAAAAAGACCGTTTCTACGAAGAGCTTCAGTCGGTGGTTGATAAGGTACCCAAGCGCGACATGCTGATCCTCATGGGTGATTTAAATGCCAAAGTAGGCAAAGATAACAGAGGCAGGGAAATGGAGATGGGAACCAATGGCCTAGGGGAAATGAATGAAAATGGTGAACTCTTCGCAGACTTTTGTGCCTCAAATGAGCTTACTACCGGCGGTACACTTTTCACCCACCGAAGGTGTCATAAAGCCACCTGGATATCACCAGATCATCATACCGAAAACCAGATTGATCATGTCGCGGTAAGGCGTCGTTGGAGGGCCTCACTGCAGGATGTGAGAGCAAAGCGAGGAGCAGACATAGGATCCGACCACCACCTGGTTGTTGCTAAACTGAAGATGAAGCTAAAGGCAAAGAAGAGGCAACATGAAGTTAATCCACGAAGAAGATTTGATGTAAGTAAACTTAAGACGCAAGACAACAGGACAAATTTTCAGGTCACCCTAAAGAATCGGTTTGAAGCTCTACAGACAGAAGAGAAAGATCTTGATTCAGTTGAACACACCTGGGAAGTATTTAAGCAAGCCACTATTGAAGCTTGCGAAGAGGCTCTAGGAGGTAGAGCGCCCAACAGGAAGCCCTGGATCACAGATGATACATGGCAGAAGGTGGAAGAAAGAAAAAGCCTAAAGAGCGAACTAAAGCAAGCAAAAACACGGCAGCAAAAACAAGCAGCAGCCGCTCGATATAACGAAAAGGCTAAAGAGGTGAAAAGGAAACTAAGAAATGACAAGAGATTGTTTATAAATGAAATGGCAGAGCAGGCCGAAACAGCTGCCAGTAAGGGAGATCTCAAGACGCTCCATGCAACAACCAGAGCTCTGAGTGGGAGGAAAACCAATACCAACAGGCCAGTGAGGAGCAAAAATGGTAAACTTCTAACGTCAATTGAGGAACAATTGGCACGATGGAGAGAGCACTTCCAGGAAGTACTAAACGGTCCAGCACCTCAAGATCCACCAGACCTGGAGCCAGGGGAACCCCTTAACATCAATACCGAGGAAATCACCAGACAGGAAATTCTCAACGCCTTAAATAGTTTGAAGAGTGGCAAGGCAGCAGGACCAGATAATATCCCAGCAGAGGCATTAAAACAAGGTGGGGAAGAAGTAGTAAATCGACTTCATAAATTACTTAACTTAGTCTGGAACACAGGACAGATCCCAACCGATTGGAAAAGGGGCCTCCTTGTGAAGTTGCCTAAGAACGGTGACTTATCTCAGTGTGGAAAATGGAGGGGTATTACCTTGTTGTCCATACCAAGTAAAGTCCTTACCAGAGTTATTTTGGACAGAATGAAAGAGGCGGTTGACCTTAAGCTAAGAGAGGAACAAGCAGGATTCAGGAAGGAAAGGTCTTGTACAAATCAGATAGCCACTCTTAGAATTATTGTAGAACAGACGATAGAATGGCAAGCCCCGCTTTACATCTGCTTTGTTGACTTTGAGAAGGCCTTTGATAGTGTGGATAGGCAAACAATATGAAATCTGTTGAGACACTATGGTGTATCTGCTAAGTTAGTGGAAATAATCCAGCAACTTTACAATGGATTTTCATGCCAAGTTAGCCATGCAGGGAAACTGTCTAAAGAGTTCCAGGTCAACACAGGTGTGAGACAAGGATGTCTGCTGTCGCCCCTCCTCTTCTTGGTAGTTCTCGACTGGGTGACACGCACAGCCTATGCCAGTTCTGGAAAAGGTATTCAGTGGACACTCACGGGGAAACTAGAAGATCTGGAGTTTGCAGATGATCTTGCCTTACTCTCGCACAGGCTACAGGACATGCAAGAAAAAGTTGATGCATTAGGAGCCATCTCGCAGCGCGTAGGTCTGAAGATCAACAAAGAAAAGACGGAAATGATGAGAATTAACAATAAACAGGAGGCTCCAGTGTCAATAGACGGAAGACAGGTAAATGATGTGCAAGAATTTGTCTACCTTGGCAGCAAGATCAGCAAAACGGGAGGCACAGAGGAGGACATACGCGCTAGAGTTAATAAAGCCCGCTGCGCTTTCACAGTCCTGCGACCCATATGGAAAAGTTCGGCCATCTCCATTACCACAAAAATTAGGATATTTAACTCTAATGTCAAGGCAGTTCTGCTGTATGGAGCAGAGACATGGAGAGTCTCCAAGGCAAGCATAGCAAAGATACAGACCTTCATGAATAGATGCCTTAGACAGATACTGAAACTGAGATGGCAGGACAAAGTGCCGAACTTGGAACTATGGAGGAAAGCTAGGCAGGAGCCTATAGGTGTGCAAATAAGAAGGAGGAAGTGGCGCTGGGTGGGTCACACACTGCGAAAGGCTCACACAAATGTTACACGCCAAGCGCTTGAGTGGAACCCCCAGGGAAAGCGGAAGAGAGGGCGCCCAAGACAGACCTGGAGGCGGAGTCTTCTTGAAGAACTGAAGCCAATAGGGATGTCTTGGGAGATGTCAAAATTAATATCCGAGGATAGGAAGAAATGGAAGGAAATGGTGGAGGCCCTATGCTCCATAAGGAGCAAAGAGGACTAAGTGAAGTGATATATATATATATATATATATATATATATATATATATATATATATATATATATATATATATATATATATATATATATATATATATTAAAATTGACGAACCATCCTTCTAATATTTTGTGAAATAGTAGACCAGCCCTGAAGAGTAGCTAAAAGAACTTTAATCCCGTCGGAAAAAAACCTAAGGGTCGTTAGATTTGTCCAGATGCCGTGTTATCTTAAATTAACAATTGTTTGTGAAAAAAGTAAACAAAGACTACGTCATTTGGTCTATGTACAGTGGAAGTAACTTTTTAAAGTAATAATTTAAATAATTTTTATACTATTTTAAAGAAAAAACAAAAAACAAAAATCACAAAGTATAGCATTCGTTTAAATAGATATTTCGTTATAAGTTATGTATTGTACTGAAATTGTAAACATTAATTGCTAAAGTCACAAGGTTGACAAAACATTGTATACGGGTTTGATCAACGCGTTACCAATTGAATATTTTTAGAAGTTTGACATTTTTGTTCTAAAACTGGGATAGTTGCAATGTAAACGACACCGGTGCTATATTTCCCGGATATTTGATGCTGGGCGTGGGTTGGTCCACACTACAGTTTACACACCATAGGGCGTGCTGTATGAAAGCCTTGGGTGTATGTTATTAAGTAGAGTACCATAGGTAATCGTGTGCAATCCCTAGTTCGGATTATTCATCGAATTGTAGATGTCCGCCGTGCCCATGGTGTAGGGTGCTCTGGTCAGGAGCCACCCATTGAATCAAGTAGATGAAT